CAGTATTGGCGCCAGAGTTGGCGTAACTTTGGGATGATAACATTTTACCAGTATTGGCTACCAGAGTTGGCACCAGTACTGGTAACCACTGCTGGTTCAGTACTGGCCGAGTAATGGCAGTTTTATAATTTCTTGTATACGAAAAGAAAGCTTTAACTGCAACAGAGATAAGTTTCACTGCAATAGTGAAATCTCTGCTCCAGGTAATACTTTTTTGGTATATACTTATAGGGAAAAGTGTCTGAAATTTTTAGTAACCCAACACAAATTAAATATTAATTAAATTAGTCAACTAACTAATTAATATTTTATTATATAAAATCGAAAACACCAAGAATTTTTATTCTTTATTATAATATATATTGCAAATTATTATTTTAAAAAATCAAAAAAAGTAAAAATTTTTAAATTTAAGTTTTTTTCAAAAGTATAATATCTATTTTTAATCACATATATATACATATATTTGCATCAAATGAATTTTTGAAAAAAATTTTTTAAGAAAATAAAAGTTGTTTTTTGATTTTTAACATTATTTATTTTTAGTTTGATCGTTTAAAATTTTGTTTTTTGGTTTATTGCATATCTGAAAACAATAAGAAAATCTTGCAAAATGATTTAGGCTTGGTCTCAGGAAACTTTTTGTTTAAATAATTATACCCACAAAAAAGCAAAATAAAATACATTTTAATTTTGAAAAATAAAATCAAGGTGAAAAAATTTTTATAAACAAAATATTTAAACAAAAAGATTCATCAGGAATTCACTCTAGAACTTTTTGTAAACTATTATTAATCAAAAAGAAAATCTATTTGAGCCAGTACTGGCTCAATATCGGCTCAGTACTGGTTTTCCAGTACTGGGAGGGTGGTACTGCAACAGTACTGATACAATGAAAATACCAGTACTGGTTCAGTACAGACTGCCCAGTCTTAGCAGCCAATACTGAACTAGTACTGCGTCAATAGTAAACTCTGGTATAATACTGAAATTTTTGGTTGGGATTATATTCATAAATATCCGTGAAAACGATTTTTTGGCTTTAAAATCAAAATTTGAGGGTGTTAGGGAAATTTTTAATATACCATTCTTCTTAGTTTTTTGTTAAGTACAACCTCTAGTAGGTCTGATAAAAAGTGTTGTATGGTTGTCACACAGTGTAGGTATTTTTATTAATTTTTCATTTAATTTTCATTTAATTAATTGGAATTTGGTTTTTGTATTTTTAAATTATTTATTTATACGTTGGCTCACTTCGATATTTATACTTTCAACGTGGCGTTATTAATAGTTAATTAAAAATAATTGATATTTGTGTTTAATGTTCAATTAAATATTTGTACTACTTATTTTATGGATAATTTACTGCAATTATTCCACAAAAAATTTTGATACGAGTTATTTGATAGAATTTCATTGCATAGAATTTTTTTTTCAATTGAATTTATATTTATTCGAATTATTATTTAACAGAATTTCCATATAACCAATTTTTCATATTTAAGAATTTTTATTTAATCCAGAATTTATTTAATTGTATTTTAATTTGATAAAATTTTTATTTCACAGAACTTTTATTTATTCGAATAAAATATTTGGCAGTAACATTTCGTGACAATTTTAAAATTAACCAATCAAAATTTTCTGGGTAATTTCTGATTAGTTAATTTTGAAATTGACGCCCAAAAATTTTTAACTGAAATTAATTCGCATAATAATAAAGTTTTGTCAAATGAAAATTCGTTCAAGTAGAAATTCAGTTAAATGAATTTTCGCGGTTAAGTTAAAAATTCAGTTATATAAAAAATCGTTTGTATGGAAATTATATCAAATAATAATTCGAATAAATATAAATTCAACTGAAAAAAAAAATTCAATCTAATGAAATTCTATCTAATAAAAATTCAAACAAAAATTAATTTTATGCATTAGTCGTGCGTGCGTCTCATATAGAAATGTTTCTATAAAAAAAAGTAATACTTAAATTTAATTTGAATATTAAAATTTCTAGTTTGAAAAATTGATGAATATGTTTTGAAAAGTAGGAAAACTTATTTTTAATTTCAAGAGGAAGTATGATGGAGATATCCTGGAAATAGTGTATCCTCTTACCGGATGCATCAAATTTCCGTTTTTATGATAAGCACACACCCGGAAATACAAGAATAAAACAAAGAAATTATTTTGAAATTTGTTAATATTTTTTTAAACTATAACTATATAGAAAATTATTGAAAATCTGTATTACAATCTTGTTTTTTAAAAAACGGAAATTTAGAGCGTCTTAACACGAACATATTTTTTTTTAATAGAATCCTGCGAATTAATAAAATTAACGCTTTTCTGAAAAAAACTAATTTTATTATTTTTCAATAGACATTTTTTCCCACTTCACTTTTTAGCAGATTTCATACAGATTTAAACCCTATTTTTTTAAGTTGAGTCAAAATCGTACACACCGAGAATTTTTTGTTTTGTAAAAATCAGTTCATGCAAAAAAAAAAAAATTGCTTTTAAGGAATCATTGAAATTTTTTCTTTTTTCTGTTTTTTACACAAATAATATTTTTGTTTTCTAATTAAATTTCTATTTGTGTAAAATTTAAAAAAAAAATTATCATTGTGGGATGCAGGAAGTGTTAAAGTCAGCCTTACTATCGTGCTTGCGCTTCAATCTACTTGTTATTATTATCAATGTACTGTTTTAGTAGAATACATCATTAATAGATAATATATTAAGTCATTTTTACATTGATTTTGAAAATTTAATATTTTTTCAGCCGCGCAGTCAAAAGAATAAAAAAAAATTTATTTATTTTTCACACTAAATTCAGGCCTTGGATTATACGACTTTTTCTAACTTTTTTTCGAAAATACGACTTTTTTCGACTTACTTAAATAAGATTGGACTTTTTCGACTTTTTTTACATTTTTTTAAAAAATTTTTTAACAAAATAAGTCTGTTTTAGTATACAATGCAGATCTTCTTCAGATCTTCTTTATTTCAATTATTTAAAAAATTTTTCACTGAAATTTTTCTTAAAATTAATTATTTTAAATAATATTAATGAAATTCTTCACAAATTCAATAATCTTAAATTATTTTTCAATTAAAAATGTTATGAAATTCAACAATTGTTTACAATTTAAAAAAAAAAATTACCAAAATTTTCAATTTAAAACGTTTTAAAATTTAATTATTTTAAAAATTTTTCATCTAAAAATTTTAAAAATTTAATTTCAATTATAACTCTTCCGAAATTCAATTATTTTTAATCGAATATTCAATTATAAATTATATGAAAGTATTTTTCAATTAAAAAATTTTCTAGTTCAATTGTTTTCTTTAATTTTTAATAAATTTTTTAGCAACATAAAATCACCAAAAGATTTCAATTTAAAATCACTTGAATTCAATTATTTTCACAAATTTTAATTTAAAACCTTTCTAAAATTTTATTATTTCTAAAAATATCAAAAATTTAATGATTTTAAATGATTTTTATAATATTTTTCAAAAATTTAATTCATTAAAAGCATTTTTCACTTAAAAACTTTTGAAATTAAATTTTTGTCTGCAATTTCTAATAAATTCTTCATCAAAAGAAATCACAAAAAATTTTAATTCAAAATCACTCAATTAATTGTTCAATTAATTTCAAAAATTTGAATTGTTACCCAGGCGCGAAAAACCAATGCTGACGATGGATTGAGGCTTGATTTTAGATTGAACGCCCAGCGTAGGTAACCCAGACTGAAAGCAGCCTTTATACCACTGTCGATTAAAATTGGTTCAAGATTGGTTACCAATGCTCGTCTCATGCTGGATTCAAGTTTAGTTGAATCCTTATGAGCAAAGCCTAGGAGTCCAGTCTAGATTCAAGCTTGAATCAACTTTCGACTTAATATTCCCAGCTTAATTCAATATTAATTATTATCTGTATAAAATACAATTGTATTGAGTAATTATTTATATACGTTCAATATAAATTAAATAACATATTTAAATATATAATAAAAATCATAATAATTATATTCAACACATTTTTGAAAATAATTTCTTTTAATAAATTTTTTTTTTAAAGATTATATTATAATAATTTATCATCTTTATTATGTATTATTATATATTATAATATCCCTATAATATTGTAATAATTAAAGAATTACACAGGCACACAAAAAATAAAAAGCTGTTTGGCCGAGACACTACACTAGTCTATTTCCATGTATTTTTTCACGCTGAATCCGAATTCGAAGTCAGAATTGACAGATTGGCTCAAATTTTGAAGATAATTCTAAAAAACTGATTTTGAGTATTTTGAGTTTTTTGTTACTTGCGTTTTTCTGCAATTATCTCAAAAATGTGAGCGAATCTAACAATTCTGAATTTGGATTCGGATTCAGCGACAAAAAATACATGGAATTACACTATCGCAGTGACATTCAAAAATTTTTTAAATTTTAGTATTATGATTTAAAAATTTAAGGTTAGGGACCATTCATTAATTACGTAAGGGTCCTTAGGGGGAATGGGGTTTATAAAATCTCTACATGGTCTTACGTTAGGTGGTGGGGGGTAGAAGCTAATCTTACGTAAGATTTTGCCAAGTATTTTCTATTTGTATTGTTGTAATTAATTTTTTAATTATATTAATATTGTTAAAAACTTACGTAAGAAGGGTTGAGGGGGGGGGGTCCGAAAAATATTATGTATCCTTACATGGGGGTAGGGTGGGTCAAAATTAGCCAAAATCGTCCTAACGTAATTAATGAATGGCCCCTTATACTATTATTCTTTAAGGTAAAAATTACCACAACAGCAGGACTTGCAAAACGGTATTTATTTTGCAGAATAAAATGTGAATCTTTAGGTTAAAATTAAAAATTATTTACAATTAATATAAAATAAAACGACTTTCTTTGTGTCTTAAAGGCGATCTGAGGCCTCTAATTTTAATAAAATTTGTAAAATATTAATTATATTTAACTATTTTGCAGGGTGTATGTTGGACAGTACGGCGTCACGAGGACCACCCAACGTACCCCCCCGAAATCCAACAATGAGCCGTCTAAATGGGAGGTTACCAGGAAATCAAACTACCAGTGATCATGAACGTGATCCTGATTTAGAACCATCTTGCTTGATTCGCTCACCATCTGGAAATTTCTACAACATACCAAGTAAGTATATTTTATTTCCATTAAGGGTGTATGGAACGCTGAAATTCCAACCTTTTGAAATTAAGGCTGTTTAAGGTTGTCAATTTTTTTTTCTGACAATATTAGGTGTTTGAAACTGTAATGTATTATGGGAAATTGAAAAACAATTAATTCATTAATAATTTTTTAAATAAAATTCAAAATTTTCAAAAACTAAAAATTTAAACTTCTGTTGCAATTTTTATTATTTTTTATTGTTGATTTTTTAATACCCTTTTTTCATGATATTCTGAACAATCAATCGTATATGAATTTTTAAAAATTTTTATATTTTCAAAAAATAAAATTTCTAAAATGGTACCTACAAAAAAATGTTTTTTTTCAATTTTTATAATTCACAATAATTTTAGATTCCAAATAATACCAGAAAAAAAATTGACACCCCCTTAACTCTCTAATGCCGAGGGTGTTTAGAAATTATCATAAAATTTTTTCAAGGCTTTAGTTTATCTAATTTATGCTTCGGATTTTGAGGAAAATTGTTGAATATTCACACGAAACTTTGAGGAAATATTACACATAAATATTCACGTGCAATGTTCAGTCAATGTTGTGTCAATATTGAAAATACATTTTCGCCTAGTTATAAAAATTTCATTTACTAATATAAAATGTATAGGTGAATATTGACATAACATTAACTGAACATTGCACGTGAATATTTACAGTGTAATATTTCCTCAAAGTTTCGTGTAAATTATTCTTTTCATGTGGACATTTAAACATCGACACAAACTTGTATGAACCTTGCCACTGAAGTTTCCTAACCTCGCCGTGTGAGGCTCTGTCAAGTTTCAGGGAATTTTGGGTGCTGTGTGGGATTATATAAATTATTTAAAATAAAATCAAACAAAGTTACTGAACACAAATTTAATTTGAAATATTATCAATATAAAATATATGTAATTATTTTACCATAAAAACTATTAACACTTACTTTTTTTTAAAAAAATTATCGCATCAAACTTGAAAAATTCACTTAATCTTGAAATTTATTAACAATTATAATATTTTTAATGTTTAAACAATTGAATAACGATTTTCGATAGTACAGAAACACTCTTCTTTACCTACTGAAACCTACTGTAAGTATTGTTACGTCACGGCATGGAAATAAAGGTTAAAAGAAAAACTAAAAGTTTGTCACCAAAATTTCTAATTTGATTTCGCAACATATAAATAATTTATTATAAAGAATAAAAAAATAATTAAAGAAAAATTAAGAACTTAACCTCAAAATTTAGACAATTAAATTTATATCCTTTATTATATACTGAATTCTATTCTTCGAGCGGCAAAAAAATAGAATTTGTGGGATCTTGTTACTTACAAAGAGTTGAAACTCGCCTTATTAATGTTATTAGAGGAATAAATAATAAAATAGAAGGAATGAGAAAATAGGTTAGGTTGAATTAAAATTGTTTGTTTATTTACCGAACTTACGCACACAATGAGATTTCTCGACGAAACACATTAATACACAAAATTCACATATAAGAACAATTAAAAATTTTATTGATAACTACAAAAATCTATAAATCAGAAGGGAAAAATTATAAAATTAATAAGGTTAAAAAGAATACAATTTGACAAGATAAAATTTCAATGAATTTTAAAAGTTAAAGTAAACGGTATATTCACGAAACCGGAGATTAGATCCTATCCTGAACCAAATATTAATTCCAAGGATTTATACAGTTATAGGAGATCACTGAGATTTGGACATGCTACAAATCTTAAGTTCGAACCTTTAACAAATAGGAATTATACAGTGATAAGAGAGCGCGTTTTCAGTCCAAATCTCGTTGAAAATCCTAAGGTCGAACCTCGAGGAATTATTGGTTCAGGAAGGGAACCAATTCCGAATTTCGCGAACAGGGACCGAAAAGAGACTGATTAAAAGAAGTTAGACGACGCTCCGGGTAACCGCGTCGTTCGTTCCCACTCTCAGGAAAACTTGCAAAAAGTTAAAGGTGGAGGGAAAATTTTGGAAAAAGGAGAAAATTAAGGTTTCTGATTTGCCGAAAACAACATAAAAATCACGCCCTAAAAATAGAAATTGAGTATTAAAAACCCTTAGAGTCCACGTGGACCAGGTACACGCTGAGGTGGAGGTGCAATAAAACATTTGGCCAACAAATGTTTACGCTATGTGCGGAGTTGGGCCCCTTGCTGTTTTGTCTAATTGTAATTTTATTGCAAGGTTTAACTCGCACACTTTTAAGGAAAATTGTCATTTCTGAGAATGCAAGATCCTTTATTGCATTTGTTCGTTTTAGATGTTTTATTTATTGAGATCTTAAAATTTAGGGATTAAGATCCTTGTGTGTATCAATACTCTTTCTAGTTTAGGCGTTTTCTCTAATGAAACAGCTTTATGGTATTTTTTTATTAAAAGAAAAGGATTTTGCGTGTTTCCTGAAAATGTGAACGGAAAAACCCAGGAACCAGATTGTCGAACATTTATTCTTTATGCAGAATAATAAATTAAAATGTTGAAATTCTAAAGATGTGTAAAAATTGTATAAAAGAATAAATTGAGTAAAATGATATTCATATAAAATAAGTAGAAATAATAAAATATAATATTCATTCATACAACATTCTTTTACACGGGGAAAACATTCTTACATACACAACAATACATAATTAAAATATAATTACATCTTAAATTAGGACATTCTGCATCCCTCATCCTAAGACAAATTTCAAAAAAAAGAAAAGTGTGAGGTTTTGACATACCGGGACGTCACAGTATTAGATATTTGTTTCTGCAGTAAAATTGTTTAAAAAAATTGTTAAATCTATGGGACGCCCAAGTCCCACCCGTACCTAGAGGGTTAACATAATTTCGATAAGTTAAATTTACCAATTTTACCACCCAGGTGCGAGTTGGCTGTCAGCCCCAAGTTGGGGCAAACATGTGCTCAGTCGGCCCACCTTGGGCAGCCAGAGGACGGGCCAACTAGCGAATTGATAACGTCAACCAACCTAGAGTCGACTTGGTTGGCCCAAATATGGGTACCCAAGTCGGGTCAACTGTGGCTGCCCTAGTTGGGCCAACCGTTGGAGACGACGGTCGGCAGCCACAGTTGGGCCAACTGTGGCTGCGCTAGTTTTGCCGACTGTTGGGGACGACGGTCGGCAGCCATAGTTGGTCCAACTATGGTAAAGATTGTCGGCCCCAACAGTCGGCAAAACTAACGCAGCCACAGTTGGCCCAACTAGAGAATTGATAACGTCAACCGACCTATGGTCGACTCAGTTGGCCCAACTATGGCTGCCAAAGGTTGGCCAACCTTGGCATTAAAATTTTTGCCGACCAATAAAAAATAAAAATTTTTTATACGAATAACATATACCGTGGATGTACCAGTTACCGTCCATGTCCCAGTATCCGTCCATTTTACAAATATCTCGTATAGTAATTTAAATTATTTTTTAACAATAATTTATTCCTTTTGGCACACAATCGACTTATTAGTTTAAGTAAACAAATAAAAGAAAATAATTTTTTTATAAACCCAGGTGCGAATTTAGGCTGGCTGCCAGAGTTGGATGGTTAGGCCTAGGTTGGCCTAACTTTGGCAAGCGAAGTTTGGTAACCAAAGTTGGTCCAACCTGGGTATTTACAAGTAACCAAGGTCGGGCCAACTTTGCATGCCAACTATGGCATGCTGAGTAAAGCCAACCGTTGGCCCAACTTAAACCAGAGTTGGGCCAACCGTCGGCAAAACTTCGGGAAACATGGTTTAAAAGACTTAAATGCTTCGGTTGGCCAAACTCTGGGTGAAGGTTGGCCCGACCGTCGTCAAAACTTCGGCAAATGTAGTTTAAAAGACTTAAACGCTATGGTTGGCCAAACTCTGGGTGAAGGTTGGCCCGACCATCGTCAAAAGTTCGGCAAATGTAGTTTAAAAGACTTAAACGCTATGGTTGGTCAAACTCTGGGTGAAGGTTGGACTAACCGTCGGCAAAACTACGGGAGACATACTTTAAAAGACTCAAAAAGTTTGGTTGGCCAAACTTTGGGTGTAGGTTGGCCCGATGGTCGGAAAGTTGGTCCAGCTTAATGTTATTTTGAAAATTAAACTGGACGGAAACTAGGTCTTAGGTGGACGGCAACTGGGACATCCACGGTATTAGTAATTATTCTAAATTTCGTCATACAATTATTTTAGGTATTTAAACACTAAACGCAATCTTATACATACATACATACATTTTAAAAATATTTATCGTTCGCAAGGATCGAACCCGCAACCTAACGCACCGAAATCTAACACGCTATCCATTACCCTACGCTTACATGAGAGTCTAAGGAAAAGTTAGTCATCTTCAAAGAAATTTAGCCGACAGTCCTTTAAAAAGTTGGTTTCTTAATATTTTGGCTGCCACAGTTTTATTAATCACCATTTTGTTTAAAATATTTCCCAACTGTGATTGCTGAATCACAAGTCATGTCAACCGACGATCCCATAGTCGGCCCAACTTGGGCGACCAAGGTTGGCCCAACTATGGCCGCCGACCGTCGTCTCCAACGGTTGGCCCAACTAGGGCTGCTGACCGTCGTGTCCGATGGTTGGCCCAACTATTGCAGCCGAAGTTGGCCTGACTATGGGGGACTATGCCGACTGTATTTTTAGAAATTTTAAATAAGAATTAAAATTTTAATTCTCATAAATTAATATAATAATAATTAATATTATAGTATTAACAAAATAATTCTTCAAAAAAATTACCTATTTCAAATTATTTAATAAATATTCTATTTTATAATAAAATAATAATGAACAATTTATTTTATATCGAATCACTTTGGCGTTGACAAAAAATTATTATAAAAATAAAACATATTTAGATAAGTAAATTAGTCAATTTGAAATAAATTTTGCGTTTAAATTATCATGTATCTATATTTTAATTATTTAAACAACCATTATATACCACAGTCGGCCCAA